AGTGTATGATATACTAGTAATTGCCTCATTTAATTCGATYAGATGATATATTAAGTTGGTTTCGAAGTTAGAGAAAACAATTCATTCGAATGATCTATCGGAGTAATTGTAAACAAAATGCTAATTTGCATATTGCAAGACAAAAAATCGTGATTTTTAATCGCTGCTATCGCACTGCCAGTGTAAAAACCCAGAAATATTTTTMCAMCTCGGTTTATACTGATATTTCATCCTTATTGAGGGTGAGTTTGGTAAAAATTGGAGAATGACYACATGGGGAAAAATGTGTTTGGAAACTTCAACTAAAACCAAGGATAGCGACGGAATAAAAACTGGCCCGACAAAAATCATTTTTTCTCCCCGTTAAAAATACACTGAAAAACCAAAATTGTTTCCGGGCAACCTGTTAGAATGTATTCTTTCGGATTATGTAAAAAAATTGCTCAAAAATATTCCAATTCATTGAAGAACTAACTTTTATAAAGTAGCGAATTTTAGCGGTCTCATATGCTAATTTTAGACCAAATCAGGGTAAAACCAATTTTCCTCAAAAACTCGAATTTCTCAACGTAGATCAAAAAAACCGATTTGACCACGTTAGTAGGCTCACAAAAAGGTGTCCAGACACTAAGTTTCAAGAAATTTGATTTTTTCACTGTGGCCGGCCTATGCTCGATATTTCTAGACAGTCACTCTTAATAGACTTAATTGAAAAGGGTTAATATCTGGACCACAGTAATCGGATATTTGCATTATGACGTAACTAAACAAAACTACCAGAATGCTTCTATTGTAATGGTATTATTGCCCAATCACATATTACATCTCATCAAAACATTCTATTGTTTTAATCAGAGTGACTGATCATTTCTACCTTCAGAAAGATCAATATTAGGTCCAAATTGTGAGTCTTTCTGAACATCTCACCACAACGTAAACGTACTGTGATGTCATTATGCCAGGCAATTAGTCCTAATTTGTTTTTTGTGCAAGGCTTTCTGGTAGTTGTCGTACTTTTAGTAGATTGTCATTGCAGGAAAAAAAAACAAGAATTACCAAAAACACTCACCAAGTATTCCTTCAACAATATCTTGATCGAGCTCATTAAGCCGCTTGCCTTTGAGTTCGCTTCCGAAAAACTTATCAAGAAGAACTCGAGCAAAATGAGTTTTAGACGAACATCCTCGCATACAAGCATTTAAGCACATGTTGTCCATCCATACTCCAGGACTAATTTCTTTCCACTACAACAATTAGGTTGGGTAAAATCCATTTGATGTGGTTGACATCCTTTTTGAACGCATTATTGTTATTATTAATTTTAAAAGCTCTGTCAATTTAAGTTATCTTTGTTGACATAATCTCAAAGCATTGTAATACCGATAACAGCCTATAGAACTTTCTAGTGTGTTCAAAATGGCTATGAAGTCCATCTAGAATATTCTTTAGTATGCACACCAGAAAACCACGCTTAACTATGGAAAAACGCCATTTCACTGATTCGTGCTATGATGAGCCTTCTGCGAAACGTATTTATCAGGAGCGTAATGATTCAAAATATACAGATTCTTTTGATAGCAAATCTTTTATAACGGAATTGCTGTCCGATTCCATTGCATCGAACAAAGAAGAGCATCGCGAAGAAACACTGACTGGCTATGGAGATCAGTTGGCATTCAACGAAAATTTTGATTTGTTTGCAGGTAAGATAATGTATTATATACAGATTATTAACAAGAGTTATATAGGTGCATAAAGAAAACAATTTACAAGTTAGATTGCGTGTTGTCAAATCGTTTTCTTTTAAACTGCATTAGATCAAAATTATTAATATAAATATAGAAATTATAAAACTCCGACTCAGTCTTCTAACAACGAAGAGAGATCACAAGGAACATTCCTTTGCGCAGTATCAGAGGCACGTGTGTACATAAATTTTGGCGCGAACCATTATACATACATTCATTTCTTTTGCCTTGAATCTTTCATGTAGATGCACTGAAAATCGTATATTCAGTAAATAGTGATGACAATTGATTTGTTTTAAGTAACATATAGTTACTACATAGACATTTATAAAGCAAGAATTAATTAAATCAAATTGCACTGTTTAATCATTTTTTGTCTTTTATTCTAATTCCTAATTGAATTTCATAGGAAACAAAACAAGTACCCCACAAAAAAATACAGGGGAAAAGAAAATACGAGAGAAAAATCGCAGCCATTACGCAGCACCGTTAATACAGATATTGAATTCCACGACCTCGATGAAACAGCTGATTTAATCAATCTGCACAGCAATGTGAAAGATGACATCAAAGAGTTTATGGGAAACTTTAATAAGACTCAAAGCACTATTCAAAGGCACCAGGTAGTTCAGGAGGAAGAGGAAAACAGTTTTCCAGATATGTTTGGTTTTTACATGGAAGCTTTTGAAACAGAATATATTTTCACAAAAACTGACGATGTACAAACAAAAGCAACCCTCTATGAAGGATCACAACTGCGTTATGAAGAGAGCGTTATGAAGATGTTACTCTTAATGGCATTTTGTGTGCGACACAAACTGTCGGGAGTAGCTGCTAGTGATCTAATTGATATCATTTCTCTTCACTGCCCGGAGACGGCTAACGTTGTTAAAACGTACAGACAGTTCAAGTACTTCTTCCGATAATTGGATAGTCCTATGACCAGACACTATTATTGCCCTAGTTCACCATGCCAGGTGTACTATGGAGTTAACGAAACTCAGGAGAAACAAAAATGCCCCATTTGTAAGACACCACTTTGTAAAGACAGTTTTTTCATTGAGCTGCCAATAAAGAAGCAGCTTTGCAGTCTTTTATCAAGTAAGTATTGGTAGTTATCTTACTGTTTGTCGGATTCATGAGAACTATTAAGGCTGACTTGGAAAAATCTATACTTTTTTGCATTTATTTATACACATTGTTTTATGTGTAAGCTGCGGAACCACACCCGTCTGAATTTGTGCATTGCTTTAATTTCAGATCCCAAATTTCACGAAAAGCTTCAATACCGCTTTAGAAGGAAGAAACTTGATGATTTAGCAATTGAGGATGTTTATGATGGTGAAATATATCGTCAATTATCGAATGATGGGGGCTTTCTTTCTTGCTCCTTCAACCTATCCCTTATTGGCAATTCAGATGGCGTAGCTGTAGTCAAATCTTCAGGAGCCAGTGTATGGCCTGTTTATTTTGCAATAAATGAACTCTCTCCAAAAGAAAGGTATATTTTTTAAACATCAATCTAGCACTTTATTTTCTAAATGACTTTATTAATTCCAAAGTCTAACAAAGTCTGACTAAGTAACTGTCGGCAAAAAAAACAGTGCATATTTAATTCTTAATCAATGATCAAAAAGATTACAATTTTAAGAAACTGAAATTCCAATTGTGTTTAAGATTCAGCAGAAAAAATCGCCTTTTAGCAGGTTTGTGGTTTGGTAAAGGGAAACCATACTTTCCAACATTCATGAGGCCTTTTACTTTGTCTCTGCAAGAGCTGTATTTTGAAGGTACAATTTTGATTTGTTCTAAATTATATGTTATGAACTAATGCTCTATTTTTTAGCAAAGCCGCGACAGTATATATAATTACTTTAATTTATTATTTTATTCTATAATGTGTTGCTAGTATGAAACTTACAGTAATATACACGTACATATGCCAATTGACCAGACTTTTGTTGATCATGTTTTTTTTTTTCTGATGTCAGGTATCCAAGTGAACGTACCAAACAAAAAGTTACAAACATACCGTGTAACGGTCCTTGATATGAGTCTTGATGCCCCTGCTCATTGTCTCTGGCAATCCATGAAGCAATTTAACGGGTATTTCGGTTGCGGAAAGTGTAAAGAACCAGGTGAACAGCTAGTCATTGGGATTGGACAAAATGGATCTAAACGACAATGTCACATCCACCCATACAACAAGAATAATGTGATGGGCCATGCACCAAGCCGCACCCATGAAGAAATGAAGCAACATGCCAAGGAAGCCTTATCAAATATTGGGCAAGGAAAATCAAAGGTGATAGCACATGACTTATATACGGTCACCTTTCATTAAGACATTAAATTATTTAAGTGGAATAAATAATGTTATTTTCTTTTTATGATATCATCAAAGGCACAGTAATTGACTATATGCACTGCATATGTGAGGGAGTTCTTGAGCAACTTCTCGAGAGATGGTTTGGGAGTGGTGACAACACATCATATCCTTGTTTTATGGTAAAGTTGATTAATACCATAGATCAAGACATGCAGCATATCAAGCCTATAACGGAAATCACACGAAAACCTCGTAAATTGCTGATAGGTAAGGTAAGAGAACACTTTGAGCACAATAATATACTCATTGCTCAAGCTATTTTAACAAAAACCAAGAGGATGATGAAATCAACAGCTGTGGGGTCCAAAGGCCATTTGATCATAAATAAATGTGATATGCATGGAATATTGCTTTTATCATATAATTATCTATGAAATACCTATATTTCTCCATTCGTAAACTTGATGTCTTCACTATTGAAAATAAATGTTATTTTAGTGAAAATAAAACATATTCGAGGTTTCTCTAGTATACTGTAAGTAAGAAAAAAGGTATTTTACGACATAATTTGCTTTAATGTGTAATTATATGATAAACAGAATATTACATGGTCGCTTGGAGATACAAATGTTATCTTCTTGTGTTGAAAATCTCTCGCCAGTCGTTCGCTACGCTCACTCGTGAGAGATCTTTTCAACACTCGAAGATAAAATCCGTATCTCTGCGCGCCCATGTATTATCCTCTAATTCTTTTATTCTGGCAATCTTGAATATCAATAATATAATTTATATATGTCTGTGATTGAAAAAGTATTGAAAAATTAATATTCTTGAATCGACTGGTATATAATTATACAGGGAAAAAAGTAGATGTATGAGATATACTCAAATATTACTTTTATTGACTTTTTAGCTTCTGAAAATAAGTCCTTTTTGCTCCACTACTCAATCCCAATCCTCATTGGTCGGTTACCTCAACAATACTTGGATCATTATATGTTGCTTGTTGGTGCAATATATCGTCTCTTAAAAGACAGCATCTCAACTACTGAACTGGAAAATGCTTCTTTATACCTGAAGCTCTTTTGTGCACAGATTCCAGAATTATATGGTGATTCACCTTACTTACAATCATTTAATGTAGCAATTCTGACCTCTAACATATATGTATTTGATCATTATATCAGCTCGTGCATGACAGTGTTTAGTCATGTGATTTTTAACTCGAAGATTGCGAAGCAATCCAAGAGTTATTGGAGGGGGACGAGTCTTTCACTCACTCACTCACTCACTTTCCTGTAAACTTGAGCCTTCGTTACTTGTGTTCAGAATTATAATTTATTCTCATCGTTCTCTATTAATTTACTCATTAAGTTACCGTTACCGGGTTCCCTGATCTATATTTGGTTGAATTTATTTATGTTTTGACAAAGAAAGAAATCTAATTAAAGAAATGTCAGCTCCTCTGAGTCTTGAACTTCAGACCTCTGAATTAAGCCTCATCTACACGGGCAATTTTTTTGTGACAATTTTTAATTGCTCATTCTCATCCCCATTCTTCTGAGGATGGCATAATGTAATGCTGAAACATGTTAAGATTAAAAAATATATCGTATTTTTTAAAGTTTTATTATCTCTAGTACTCTTACGAAGCTATAGTATTTAAATTTGTTTTATTTATTGACTTCTCCGCTGTGAAAATCATAGTTGGCGCGAGTCTTCAACAATTATTTGCTGCCTGCCCACACGGAAAAAAAATTGTCACATATAGTTGTCACATAAAAATTGCTTGTGTAGACGGGGCTTTAAGGCCCGTTTACACTTGCAAATTTTGCAGCCCGATTGTCGCGCGCAATCGGCTATAGATTCGAACATGCTTGAAATTTATCGGCATCGCCGCGACAATAGAGAGTTTAAGCATCAAGTTAACGGCAAACGGCTAACGGCAGAACTGAACCGAATGTACTTAAGAATTTTGTGCATGGTCGTATGCTTTTGGTAGTTATTGGAAAGAGCGGCCTTTCACGATTATGGCAAACTCAAAATAACCCACTCTCGCGTTGAAACTGCAACGTTAAACTCTAAAAAAGCAGGTCACGTGATCTTTTCTGACGTTTGCCGTGAACATCATGCTAAACCTCTCTAATCGCAGGGCTGTTTACACGTACGATTTGAGGTGCGCGAGAGCAAAGTGGTGATTGTCGCGCGACAATCGCGCTGCAAAAATTGCAAGTGTAAACGGGCCTTTGGAAATCGAAGACACGGCTTCCNTGATATTTAGATATTTCAACAATTCTCATAATTTTTGCAGAAGGCTGTATATATAAAATATCTAAATATCATAATATCAAGTGCATGATCCCACGCGATGTCCTTAGTCCCTTGTCTTTGTATTGTCTAGATATTTAGACAATTCTCATAATTTTTGCAAAAGGCTGTATATATAACTTTCCTTACTTTGTTTTCATTTCTGATGATGGCGTAAGTAACGCCGAAACATGTCAAATATAACACATTTAAAAATCGTAATCGTCATTTTTAAATTATTATGCTAATTGCTGCTCAAAAGACCTTTTGGATCAATAAAAAAAAGATTTAATGAATCACTGACATGGCATCTTTGCTCATAGGCACTTTGCAGACAGGTTTCAAGGTTTCAATTTGCTCTAATTGCTTGATGTAAGCATCTTTCTTTAGGCAATCATTGCATACTTTTTTTTGGTTGTCAGTAGTGAAATCCCTATTACATCATAACATCAATGAGTAAATTACTGTAAAGGATTTATTTTCTTGGCCTCAGAGGACAATTTTAATTAAGTACAAGATATATCACTGATAAAAAATGCATGGCGACATTTTAAGGGCGTTTAAAGCAGATTTAACAKAGAGATTTGGAGATTACCCTGACTAATAAGTTGGTCCATGTACACKAAACGTCGATAAGCRCTGGAACAAAATCGCACTCTAAAAAGGTTGTAAATTTGGTGTAAATATGATGTAAGTATACGTTAAGTAGATTCTTTTCTTTAAACATTGCATTAAAAAATTGTCGAATTAACCAGATATGATACGGTGTTACCGTTTGTTTATATGACCTTTCAGGTCAAATTTATTTAAATCTCACGGAACTTGCATATTTTGAATAAACTTGACGCTTTTCGAGCGTGAAGTCGGGCTAGCTATTTTGGAAAATTGAAAACGAAAGGATATCACTCTTGGTTTAGATATTTCTAGTGTATTGAAGTCGTTGCGCGAAGTCTCCAGAAATTATATCGCAGTGCGTGAATAAGCAATYAGAATGCTCATTAATCACTTAATAAAAAAAACTAGTGAAAGGTATTCTACGCCATAATTTACTTTCATATATAATCATATTATAGTCAGAATATTACATCATAATCTTATCATGTTTAAAATCTTTCACTCGTTCACTATACACGCACCAACCAGCCTGACTTCACGCTCTAAGAGCGTCTAGTTGTACACAAAACGCTAAAGTATCCGTCTTTAAGACATAATTCAAACTTGACGCCATTGGCTTGCTGGCTCGCGATGTTATGTGCTGTCTAAATATAGCGACTTACAATCAAACTACTTGTAGCTTGAACACGTAGAGATCATTAATAAATTCATTATTCCATARATTCGTGGAACAGACCATTCCGGCGTGTGTATTTTTATGTGAGGTCAGCGTTTTAGGCTTTGTTTGCTCCATTTAGATATTCCTTTCTCTGAAGACGAAGGCAAACGAAACAAAATGTCCACTAAAGAGCTACTAGCGCTTACTTTGCTCTGAATGCACCTCCAAAGAACATTAGTGGTGATTGGTTGGCTTATTGTTCTAAGCACTGAATCACGATTAGTCTTCTAAAAAAACAGGGATGTAGGCTTATTTTGACATCCACGTGGAAACGAATACTGCAGACCATTGTACGTCGAAGTGACGACATTCACTCAGTAAAATTTTCMGATCGCTGTGATTTTCAGAAAACCCATGTAAAAAATTGTACATAATAAATGAGCTAGTGGATTAACCAATTTGGTCACATTGATGAACCTTCATATTTTTATGTTAAGAATACTAATAGGGATGACCTTTATCATATGTAAAAGTCCATGATCCATAATGCTATAACATATTTATCTATTTTAGAACTGCTATTAAAAATAGTTGATCAGAAAAAGGTCACGTGTGAATGAAGAACTCCAAACTCTTAAGGTTTCGTCCTTCAGTTTCGTTAACCGACCTCACCCCTAACCCGTGCGAAAACGTGCATTGTCAACGTATGTATACTACTCCCCCAGGATGATCGACTTTCGTCAGATRATTAGAGGCAGATGATGTGCCACACGGGTCATGGACTGGATAACACCTTGTTTTTTCTCCTTCAAAAAATAAGTAGAAGTTACTTGCAAAGAGAGCAATACCACAGGGGTGTTTTCGTAGTGTTGTCGGAACTTTGTTTAGGCAGGCCGTTGCAACATTCTTGATAACCTTGCAGGTAACACTACCTTCTTTCCAGTTTACGAGGTYACCAGTTTCCGGTACACAGGAAATCCAATGGGTGATGTTAGGTTTGATGAGAAATTCTTCCCCAATCTCTTTCCATAACGTGAAATTCATGGCTGCGTAGGCGGTTTCATTCAAAGGGACTGTTGTTGATACTCCAGAATCCAAATAACGTGCTTCCACAGGAAAGCTAGGGATAGGTTGAAGTCCGTTCGAACCGCTATTAAAACCGCCAAAATTCAGGAAGCGATAGCTATAGACTAGTGTCCAGCCTCCCCCGTCAGTATGCATGTCACAGTAGACTTGAAATGGTAGGTTCTGGCTATTTCCATTTTCAAGTCGGATCCAGTAAACACCAGATATTGCTTTGGGATGTAACTCCAAGATTCTTTTGCACGATTGAACGGCAACATATTTRGAAGAACCATAAACTGTCGATATAAACTAAGCATAAGCTTTATAATATATGGAGTTGTTATGGTGTATGACTAAATAAATAATTGAGAGATTTGAGGTGAACTACCGCTGGTCTAGTTTAATGCTTGAATTAACAGACATGGTGGTGATCATCTTCTGTACARCAACATCCTTTAGTTCCCTATGAGCGACTACATAGGGACTACTTGATTGCACACTTTTAGCATTTGTACTCTGAATAGCATAAATGCATTGCACTTTCAGGAATACTGGATACAGCCATTCTACTAAACTTTGGCTCCATCCCTACGCAACTAGACCGAAAAGGATCATGTAAATGATCAATTCAAAGCTACTAGCTGTTGCATATCTTATTGAACACTTTTTGAGCATGCTGTTTTTAATTACTTTTAAGCTGTTATAACGTTGTTCAAGAAAAATAACTTTTGTTTTTAAGAAATTTGCAAAATGCAAAAGAGTCTTCAGATTCAGAGGTCATCTTTTCTCCCTAAATCTCAAGATAACGTTTTTAACTCGGCGTGAGCAATCGAGGGAGGGGGAWAATTTTGTCACTCACTTTCCTGTTAACTGTCCTTCTTGATATTTTGGATTATGAGGTGATATATTCTGGAAATTCACCATGATGGTCTTCCTGTGCATTTTTAGCGAATCGAAACAAATATTTATTACCGAAATCTCGCTAAGTGTCGAATTCCCCAGTTGACCCCTTATGGCAAATCGACATAACCGATCGCCGCACGGTGTTAATTTTATGCTGTATTGACTGCGATCACAGACAGTGTCGCGGTTCGAATCCTGTTGGCTTCAGCACATTTTTTATATCATTTCTCCTTTTTTAATAATCATAAACATCTCTCTGAACTAAGCTCGATTTTTTAAAGATATTTTGTTYTATTTTTGCGATCGGTAGATACATCAGTTGTAAAGTTGGGTTTTCTGTGTTGTGTTATGTTCTGAAGCATCGAAATACTTGTATTCTAGTACAGAAAATGGGTAAAATTATATTATTTGGCATTCATTGTACAGAGTGAAAGAAGTTTTGACTTTATTTTTGCTTCGAGTAC